GCGAATTGATTATATGATACCCGAAGCCAATGACGACAAGACCGCCAAAGCTCTCTGGAAACTGAGTGAAGACTTTGTCAAACTTGAAGATCATCTCAGGATTTAATTCATTAACATTTTAGAAATTAAAAAAATAAAGATTATTTTATTACAATATTATATTTAAGCCTTATAGACGTGTAATAACTTTTAATTCGTTGATACAATATTAAATTCTATACCATTGTCTATATTATTATTGAATTGCTACTTTGTTAATTGAAAACACAGATGTTAATTATTTTTTTAAACGTTTATTACTTTATTGAAACATTCTTCATTAAAGTTATTATAAAAATAATGCAATATGTAAATTAAAATAAATTAATTTAAATTAAGAGTTTATAGAAAAATTTAGACTTTATCATATTAAGTTATATGCATAAAACTAGCAGTAGTTTTAATTTGTATATAAATAAATTATTTTATATTTAAATTTATTCCTTGAATTAGTTTCATGACACTCATTATGAATAGGAAGTGTACTGTATAAGAATAATAAATTTATATAAAACTATTTTTGTAATGTCATCAGGAATATTCTGTACAATTTATACCTAATAACCACATACTCATTGTGCACTAATGTATACACTGTGCACACTCGAGTACAGTGGATACACTATGTGTTATATAATGTGAAGGTCACAAAAGTCCAGGTGCACTATCAACTATAATATGGTACAGTGTTTTAGAACTGGAATGTATTTTATGATAACATTTCATAACTATAACTGTATTTAACAACTTTCCTGTACTCTCTATTATTACTGTTTATGTCTTGTATTTAAGTTATATAATATTAATTATGATAATACAACTATAATATAGTAGCATATTAAATTAATGAAATAATGTTAAATATTTTAATATTGTATCTTATAAATATTTTCATAATAAAGTAATTAATTTTATATATCAATCATTGTGTTTGCCTTTATATACCCATTACATTTATGATCTAATAATAACATATTATTATTTATAAATTATACGATCTTATATTTATCCATATAATACTATTAAATTTTAATAATAAATCAATTATTTGTATTTAGATTATAACAAAAAATAGTTTATTTTCAATAATATTGTAAAAAACGAATGTTTGATAAAATAATTGATTGTTATAATCTTATTGAATTGAATAATAAATGAAATGTAGACAAATTTTGAATTTAACGATCATTTTAAATTGATAATAATGACACAAAAGCACATAAAACTTCTATACATTTCTTAGAAAAACACTTTATTATGGATTTACACAAAAACTTAAAAACATTAAAAATTACTTAATCAATAAATACGGTAATATTAATATGATATAAATATTTGTTTAAGATCATATTAATAATCATAAAATCGATACAAAACACACAAAAAACGACATTAATATTAGGGTAATATAGGTTAATGTATAAAATTGTTGATACAATTGGCAACAAAAATCGTATTCATTTTTGTATCGCAATTCATATCCTGTACTGAGTCTCGAGTTTCACTAAATCTTCGCTCAATTGCCACAAATCGTGAGCCGTTTTGTCGTCGACGGCATAACTGGCCATTCGGTCCACTCGACGACAGTTACTTAAATGAGACACAAAAACACAATTTAATACAAAATACACGGAATATGACACGAAATACATACTCATAATAGTGACCCGACTCATTGTCCAGCATCTCGTCCAACGCACAGTACAGGTAGGTTTGCGGTCCCATCTCAATGCTCAGGGTTAATAACGCCTTGAAAAAGCGGCCCACAATATTACTCGCGGGTCTCGAGTTGACAATACCCGGGTTAATAGCATAGGTCTTGACATTACTATCTTTGCCACCCAATCGTGTGGCCATTTCCCGGGCGAACAACACCAGCGCCAGTTTGGTCTGTAGGTGGGCGCTCATAGCAGTGTAGGCGCCGTTACGGAGGTTAATGTTACTCAGATTTATTTGTCCAAAAACGTGTCCATTGGTCGACACGTTGATGACGCGGGCGCTCACAGACTTCCGCATCAATGGCAACAAATGCATAGTTAATAGAAAGTGACCTAAAGTTTGTCAATTAATTTGCGAAATGATTACAAAATATTTTATTTACGAAAATTTTTTTTCTTGTGAATATAAGTTATACCCAAATAGTTGGCCTCCAATTGCAGTTCATAGCCGTCGACCGTCTCCTGTGCCGGTCCGAGCACTACGGGAACGCCTGCGTTGTTGACCAGTATATCCACTTTGGACTCACTTTCCGTGATTTGTTTGGCGAACTCGCGGACGGACTTCAGCGACGATAAGTCCAGCTTAAGGGCCGTTATATTGGCGCCGGGATTACGACTCTTGATCTCATTCACGGCTTTCTCGTTATTCTCGGCATTTCTCGAACCGATTATTATTTTCTGTAGAAAAATGCAAATTCATTACAACTCTATTCACAAGTTTTATACAAACACTTCAATAATAAGTTTACAAAACTTTTATACAACTTGTTGTAAAAGTTACAACTTTTTAGTAATTATGTTATATTACATTGGATTGAGTGGTGGCTTACCTTCGGTCCCCTCAACGACAGCTGATATGCCGTCTCTTTGCCGATACCGGCGTTTCCACCGGTGATCACCACTACCTGTCCGTCCAGACGTCTGGTTCCCTGGAATTTGCGCCGACACCTGAACATCGTGGTCGGGAACTCCCTTAATAATGACAGCACTGCCATAAAGTTATTCATATTTATTAACTAGCTTAAATAATGAATACAATAAATAAGTTATAGGTTCATTGGTGAATTATTTTTTGAACGATTAAGTTAAATGTTATGTTGTTTGGTTGACAGTTATGGTGAGCACTGGTATGTTTTTGTTGAATGCTTGAAATGCCACTGTTTTTATAAACTGCGAGCGCACATGTACTAAATCGACAACTTATTCACCCTGAGTACACAAACATATTTGCGCATGTACAGAATTCTGTGTTTAATACTTTACTATTATGCAATTTCATGTATTTAATGCTATTTACAATTAGATTTTAATAATTTGGATATTATTTAATTTTAAATAGGTTTAAATTTATTTATAAATAATAATGCTAATTTTTTATATGATATAATTATTTAATATAATTATTTAAATTACAAAGAATAGTATAGATTCTATACTATACAAGTAAATAGAAAATAATTTGTATTTATATAATGTTACATAAAATAGTGTTATAATTATTTAATTCATTAATTAGTACAATTAAGAAATAATATTTTTATAATATAATCCATAAAACATGTAATCATTTGAAAGGCCAGGCATACTTTGCAAGTTTGTACTCGTCCTCCAATTTAACCAAATCTTCACTCAATTCCCATAACTTTTGGGCACTTTTATCGTCCGTCGCGTTCGCATACATATCATCCACTCGTAAACAATTGCTGTTGAGTTTGAAATNACAGTTTTTCGGCCACTTTATCATCGGTTGCCGTCGATATCATGCTATCAATGCGTTGACAATCACTGATAGTTACCATAAATAATAATTAAATTTAATTTAAACACAATTCAAACTGTAATAAACTAACGCATAATAGTGTCCAGACTCATTATCCAGGGTCTCATCGATGGCACAGTATATCTGTGTCTGTGCGCCCTGTTCTGCACTCAACAGCAAACTCTTCATCACTTTATGTCCAATAGATCCCAAAGAGTGCCTCTGGAGCTCCGTATAGACACCGCCCGGATGTAAGCTATACGTGTTTATATTGCTACCTGTGCCCAGACGTCTGGCCAGTTCCCTCGTGAACAGTACGTTAGCGAGTTTGCTCTGAGGGTACGCCTTATATGAGCTGTAGGCGCCGTTTCGGAGGTTTATATTATCGAAGTCTATATTTCCCACCAAATGTCCGCTCGAAGACACGTTCACTACACGTGCTTTCGGTGACCTCTTTAGCAGTGGTAGCAAATGCATTGTCAACAGAAAGTGGCCTAAAAATTGTTAACATAATGACCATGGTTATATTTAACACAAATACAGTAGTGCTTAAACTAGTAATTGAAAGTTCGTGTGATTTAACAATTGCTAAATATTCATATTAAATAAAACTTTCAGCAATTTATGCAATTAAAGTAATGCCTAATTATTTCTATGATTAACATTAGTTTGAGCTGAAAATCTAATAAATACCCAAATGATTGACCCCGAAGTGCATTTCAAATCCATCCTCAGTCTGGGACTGCGGGACATTCATAACCCCCGCGTTATTGATAAGTACATCGATTTGGTCGACCCTTTGGGACACCGTTTTGGCGAACTCTCGTACGGACTTCAGAGACGCCAAATCCAGTGGAATGAGTGTCAGGTCTGCCCTCCCGTTCCGCAGCTTTATATCGTTCATAGCCTCCTCTCCCCTCTCTATACTCCGACAACTCATTATAATCTATGAATAAATCATACATAAGTTATATTATATAACTTATATATGAATTAATATAAAATAATTTAATGATTTAAATGGCAGCATACCTGAGCCCCTCTTAGCGACAGTTGATATGCCGTCTCCTTTCCGAGACCAGTGTTGGCGCCGGTGATGACGACTACCTGTCCATCGAGTCGTGTCTGACTCTCACACCGATTGACTCCTTTGAATATTCTTCGACCAAATTCTGACAGCGAGAAGCATATGAACGCTGAATAACTCATTATTTTATTGTTTTTTATTAAACTAAACAAATATTAAGAATAATTTGAGAATCAATGGATTGATTGCTTTATAAAACAGTTTGTGTTGTATTAAGTGATACACCGATATCTCATTTAAAGTTGTGTACACTCATTTTGCACTAACAGTCAAGTGTTATATAAGTGGATGCTATGATTGCATACCGTTCCCTCATTTAAATTGAAGGTCAGGTAAGTCCATATGCACTATCTACTATTATAACTTATCTACTACAGTGTTTTATCACTGGTATGCGTATAACATTTCACAAATACAGTATAAATAGTCTACCATATATTATATACAGTATATATAAGGAATTACAATTAGCAAACTATTCCTACATAATAATTTATTGTTAATAATAAATAGTTTTTTGTTTATTCTGTGACTTGTGTTGAAATTAAATTTAATATAATTATTCTAATTGTCTAGAAATAAACTTGATCATCACAATAAATGGGTGTGTGGGGGCAACTGAGACTGGTCCATTTGTGGCGGTTTCTGTTGACTTGCGTATACCAGTTCGGCACTAATCTTCTCAGATTGAGGGGTCGGGTAAAGAGCGATAAGAAACTGAATGGACAGGTAGTTGTAGTGACCGGTGCTAACACTGGCATTGGAAAAGAGACGGCGTATCATATGACTCTCAGGGAGGCCAAGGTATGAAAAGTTTTTATTTTTAAAATTTTAATTTTTATATATTACTGCTGAATTAGAAATCGTTATGAATATCAGAAAGTTTTGTAAGCATAAAGTTGTGGATAATTTCTAAATATGAAATTTTTATATATGAATAATTAGAATAAATATACAAAAAATATTTCATTAATAAAATAACATAATTTTCTCATAAAGGTATACATCGGGTGTCGGGATGTCGTCAAAGGAGAGACGGCTGTCAAAGACATTGTGGCACTGAATCCAAAGGCAGACATAAAACTATTAAAACTTGATTTGTCTTCACTTCAATCGGTCCGCCATTTCGCCAAAGAGTTGTCTCAATTGGA